ACCAGGCCGACGGCGTCCGTGTTTAACGGCTTTTATGGATGTAGATGGGACCTTTTCTCAAAACAAATCACAATCCTTGGCTGGAGACGCCGCCTTCCAGAGGCAAACACGGAAAATGGACCAAACTCATGAAGTCACCGGGTTTGTATTTGTTCCTGTTTGTGAACAGTTTCCATAACGTCTGAGGATCGCAGTTGAAACGGCGATGAGTTTGTGCCTGACACAGTCACAGAAAACGGGATCTTTAAATATTTTCCAGGTTTTTAAATATCTGGTTCTGGTTGTAGATTTACGAAAACATTTGTATGCTGATAGCAAAATAAAAATAAATATTTTTATAATTGATCAAAGAAGGTCAAGCTGAGCTTAGGGAAACCAAAGTCAAAAACATGCTGTTAGCATGAAACAAAAGCTGAAATGTCACTTAAAATAAATCTTATCAATCTTATCTTTTACAGTCTCTAGCGTTTCTGTATCAGTAAGGTGTGTATCTGAGTGTGTGTATTGTGACAGCTGACGTTCAGTGGTTGAAAAATATCTGACAACACCATATCTCTCTCTCGCACACACTCGCACAAGCGACCCCAAAGCCCTCAGACGCCTCAGGATCTGCACCCTCAAAAATATTCCTCCTGATAACTCCCCCCTTCTCTCCCTTCCCCTCCCCTCACACACACACTGGCAGTTTGTGTGGCCGCCTCAGCCCTGGCGTCCCTGTTTCTGGGAAAGAAAAACTGTTTAAAAAAATAACAAAGTCAGATTTCAACATTTCCCCCCAGTTTGCGGTCTGCAGCGCAGGCCAACTGAAACCAGCGTGGGCCTCTTACCCCAGTGTAATGGCTACTTTCCAACTGTGTCTGGAGGCACGTGAAGGTTCTGCCGCGGCAGCCAATTCACTTCAGTTTCTGTGCCCCTCCCACTTTCGTACAGTGTATAATTTAAATGCTTTTGGTCAGAAGTAGCTGTTTAGGAACTTTTAAAAAAAGGGATGCACTTTACTGAAGGACGGAGCAGAATGAATTTGGATGAAATCACTCTGGTTTCAGGTTTCTGTTGCATTGAGCTCAAGCTATATGTCGATGATACTGTATTAATGGTATTTCATTGCAGCTCAAATTCAATAAAACAAACATTATATTCGAAAGGTCCAAATGTAGATAATGAGAAATATATTAACTATGACTCTTAAGTCAGCGCTTCTTAGCTTAGCGCTCAGCTAATGTGCAGACCAAATGTAGCGTAGTCAAGACAATTCATTGGTGATTGTGCATTTGGCTTGTCACTGGGTCAAACCATCTTTGTTCATTGTGTAACCAACAGTAAGTTGAACCTCAAACGGTTCAGAAACATTTATCTGGCCCAGAAGGATCAGTTCAGTGATAAAAATGCACTTAGAAAACTCAGTCTGCTCCAAAAAAGAAAATCACATTTTTTAATATGGCCTGAACAGCGAGGATTGCTGGCCTTTAATTGGCCACATCTGCTTTCCAGAATAACCTTGAGCTGTCTGTCTTTTAGCCAAAATATCTCCCAGAACAGGAACAGTTCTGTTGTATGTCCGTCTTCAAAGAGTCTTGGTATGCCTGT